AATGCAAGAAGCAATAATTAAACATGAAGAGAGAAATGAGAATAGCCAAGAGACTGTGTAAAGAACTATGAAGCCATAATTACTAAAACATAAAATACCACTGAGAACACACACACATACACACAAAAGAAAAACCAAACCTAAAGTCAGCAACTCAGTGGCTGCAGCCAATACAGCTTTCAATAATAATTTTAACTACTAATGGCTTTAATTTTCCAATAGAAAGACACAGACTAGCTGAATGCATTAAGAAGCAAAATCTGTTAACTACAAGAAACAGCTTTAAAGATAGACACCACCTTAGAGTAAAATGATAAGCCAAAGTACTCAGTCAGAGGGGACCAGAAAGCAAGGAGGCACTAATACCCTAACGTCTGACAAAATAGACTTCAAACTAAAACTAATCAGAGGAGACAAAGAAAGACACTTTATTCTAATCAAGGAGAAGTTAACCAAGAAGATATTACTATCCTAAACATATATGCACCAAACTTTGGAGCACCCAATTTCATTTTTTTTTTCGAGACAGGTTTTCTCTGTGTAGCTTTGTACCTTTCCTGGAAATCACTTGGTAGCCCAGGCTGGCCTCGAACTCACAAAGATCCGCCTGCCTCTGCCTCCCAAGTGCTGGGATTAAAGGCGTGCACCACCGCTGCCCAGTTCCAATTTCATTTTTTAAAGAACAGGGGAAAGTACTGCTGAATTTCATAGTAGCACATCAGCCCATTAATAGTAAGTAATTTCAATACCGCACTTTCTCCAATAGACAGGATATGTTGACAAAAACAAGCAGAAAAACATCAGAAATAAATGACATCATACATCAAATGGACTTGACATATTCCTATAGAATATGACACCTATACACCAAAACATATGCATTGTACTCAGCAGCACACAGAAACTTCTCTAAAAGAGACCACATCTAAAATAGACAACACAAATCTTTACAAATTTGAAGACTGAAATTTCTCTGGGTATCCTATCTGACCCTGATGTCATATAACTTAAAATTGATCGCAAACAAATCTCTAGTAAATACACAAATTCATAGAGATTTTTAAAAAGTCATTACTGAATGTTGACTGTGCAAAAGAAGAAATCAAGATATTATTGGAGCTAATGAAAATGAAAGCAAAGTACAACATAACCTCTGCGACACAGTGAAAGCAATCCCCTGAGGGAGATGTACAGCTCAGAGTGCCCTCTTAATCAACCAGAAAAGGCACAAATAAATGACTTACTGACGCAACTCAAAATTTTTGAAAAAATGAGAAAAAACAAGTCCAACCCAGTTGATGGCAAGAAATAGCTTTTAAAAAATCAGAGCAAAAATTAATGACGTAGCAACGAAGCAATACAAGGAACAAAATGAACCTAAGAGCTGGTTCTTTGGGAAGATAAATAAATAAGTTTGATAGGCTCTTGACCCAACTAACTAAAAGAAAGAGAGGACTGAACAGAGTCAGAAATGAACGGAGAAACTTCAACGGCTAAAAAGGAAATTCAGAATATTAGTATGGAATGCTTTAAAAGCCTGTACTCCATTAAGTTGAGAAGCCTGAAAGAAATGGACAAGTTTCTAGATGCAGCTGAATCACTAATATTAAACCAAGAAGAAGTCAACAATCTAAACAAACCCACAACAAATGAGGTGATTGAAGTAGTAATAAGCCTTCCAACTAAAAACAGTGCAGTAGCTGATGGATTCACAGCAAAAGTCTTCCATACGTTCAACAAAGATCTATGGCAAATTCTAAAAGGATGAAAATCATATAAAAAACAACAGAAGGAGCATTCTCAAACTCCTTCTGCTAAGCTATCTCCCAATAGTAAATCTAGAACACAACAACAACAAAGAAAGCTAGAGGCTAATATCCTTGATGAACACAGATTCAAAAATGCTGAATAAAATACTTGCAAACCAATTACAAATATACATCAAAAAGATGATCCCCTATGTCCAAGTTGGCTTTATGTCTGAGATTCAGGTATGGCTTAACGTATGCAAGTCAATAAATGTAATATACCACACCAATGGACTTAGAGACAAAAATCTCGTGATCGTCCCAATAGATGCAGAAAAAAAATCCTGTAACAAAATCCAGTGCATCTTTATGATAAAAGCCCTAGACAGAGTAAGACTAGAGAAAACATACCTCAGCATAATAACATTATATATGAGAAACCCGTAGCCAATGCAATCCTAAATTGAGAAAACCTTTAAGCAATCCCACTGAAATCGGGAATGTCCACTATCCCCACTCCTTTTCAATATTGTGCTCAAAGCATTAGCTGGAGCAATAAGAGAAGGAAATTAAAGGGATACAAATAGGAAAAGAAGAAGTCAAACTACCCATATTTATAAATGAGTTGATATTATAAGGGATCACAAAATTCTACCTGGAAACTTCCAGATATGATAAATTCACCCTTGTATCAGGATACAGAATAAACTTTCACAAATCAATAGCTTTTCTAAATACCAAAAACAAACATACAGAGTAAAAGATCATGAACACACTCCCATTCACAATTGTTTCAAGCAATTAGGAATAAGCCTCTCGAAGGGGCTGAAATATCTCTAAAATGAAAGCTTGGTTCTCTGAAGAAAGAGATAAAGACACTAGAAAGTGGAAGACATTGCATGCTCATGGATTAGTAGAATTAATATTGTGAAAATGAGCATCCTATCAAAAGCCATTTATAGGTTCAATGCAATCTCAACCAAAATCCCTATCTCATTCATCACAGAAATAGAAAAGAAAAACAAAAAAACCCATCTGTTTTAAAATTCAAATCGAACCACAAGAGGCTCTAGATAGCCAAAATAATCCAGAACTAAAGGAAAATTTCAGCAAGGATTACCATTCTAGACCTTAAGATATATTACAGAGCCATAGTAATAAAAACAGTACAGTACTCACACACACACACAAAATAAATAAATAAATAAATAAATAAATAAATAAATAAATAAATAAATAAATAAATAAATAAATAAAACAGATGTGTAGAACAAAGGACCAAAATCAAAGACCCAAACATAACCTCAGCTACTTAGTATTTGTCAAAGATGCCAAAACATACACTGGAGAAAGACCACATCTTCACCAAAGGTGCTGGGAAAACCAGATGTCCAATTACCCCTGTATTTATCCTCTCTTAGTGTTCTATTGCTGTGAATAGAAACCATGACCATGGCAACTCTTACAAAAGAACAGCATTTAATTGAGGCTGGCTTACAGTTTCAGAAATTTAGTTCATTAGTTCATTATCCTCATGATGCGAAGCATGGTGGAACATAGGTAGACATGCTGCTGGAGAGGTAGCTGAGAGTTCTACGTCTGGATCTGAAGGCAGCAAGAAGAAAGAGAGACACTGGGCCTGGCTTGAGCTTCTGAAGCCTCAGAACCACCCAGTGACACTTCTGCCAGCACGGCCACACCTCCTAGTCCTTTCATATTGTACCACTCCCTGGTGACCAAGCATTCAAATCTATGAGCTTAGGGGGCCTTTCTTATTCAAACCGCCACATATCCCTTACATAAAACTAACTCCAAATGGATCAAAGATGTAAACATGAAACCCGGAAACACTGAAATTGCTAGAAGAAAACATAGGTAGTGCTTTACATGACGTAGGTGATCGGACTCCATTTGCCCAAGAATTAAGGTCCACAATGACAAGTGGGGCTTCATAAAACTAAAACCCTCACACCTAAAGACAATCGATTGGATGAAGAAGAAGCCCACAGAATGGAAGAGTCTTTGCCATCTATACATCCGACAGAGGATTAATATCTAGAATATATAAAGAATTCAAAAAGCAGTCAAAATGTCACATTAAAAAATGGGTCTTGCCATACTTGGGAGAGCTGGCTCTGCCCCACACCTGAGGGGGCCAGTCCCGGCAGCCCAGACTGACCAACTCAGCTACCGCCCAGGGACATGCCCAGGGCTTTGAGTTGGCACTCCCCAGCATCTACCCCATCTATGACGTGCTAGAGCTCATGAAGGGACTGGCCCTACAGAAACATAGCTGTAGGAGCTCTGTGACTAGGGGTCACAGCAGGCTATCTAAGAGGAAGGAGATTCGGGGAGGGTCCAGTGTTGGTGGTGTACCAGAAGCCAGAGGCCTTGAACATGACCAATAACACACTGCATAATGAACATTTGTAAGGAAAGCTGTTTGGACAAAAGAGTCAACTGCATGACACACAGCAGCTCCCGAAGTCACTAAGATGAATGAAGAGGCGATGGAGAGGTGGAAAGATGGAGGAGCAAAATGTTTTGTTGTTCTTTGTTTGCTTTTTGGTTTGTTTTTTAAATTAATATTCTTATTTGTATTTTTTATTTTTATTATTTATTTTTAAGTTTTCCTTTTGGGGAGATGCTACAAAGGTCGGGCAGGTACTATACTATACTATACTATACTATACTAGATGCTACACAGAGGGACTGGGAAATGACTGGGATTGGTGTGCATGAAGTGAATTTCCCTAAGAATCAGTAAAAAACTGTGTTTTAAAAAGATGGATTTGGGGCCAGGTGGTGGTGATACATGCTTTTAATCCCAGCGCTCCTACTCGGGAGGCAGAGACAGATGGATCTCTGTGACAAGGCCAGCCTGGACTACAGAGCTAGTTGCTGTAAATTGAGGCTTTTCTGTCCTGCCTGGTCCCACAGCTGCTTTTAAAATAATCACTCAGAGCCCTCCTATTAATTACAAACTTTTGCCTATTGCTCAGGCTTATTACTAAGTAGCTCTTACAACTTAAATGAACCCATTTCTGTTCCTCTATATTTTGCCACGTGGCTTCCTGGTGTTACCTGTTCTCTAGTACATCTTGCTGCTCCAGTGCCTCCATGGCATCTGCCCCCGACTCCACCCCTCTTCCCCCTGTATCTCTGCTTGGATTTCCCACCTGGCTCTATCCTGCCTTGTTATAGGCCAAAGCAGCCTCTTTATTAATCAATGGTAATAAAAAACATTCACAGCATACAGAGGGGTTATCTCACAGCAAGTTCCAGGACAGCTAGGGTTGTTACACAGAGAAACCCTGTCTCAAAAAACAAAAAGAAAAGAAAAATGGGTCTGGGATGTAAAAAGAGAGTTCTCAAAAGAAGAAATAAAGATAGCAAAACAAACAAACAAACAAACAAACAACTCAACAAATGTTCTCCATTCCTAATAATTAGGGAAATGCAAATCTGACTCTTGAGATTTCACTTCTCCTCAGTCAGAATGGCAAATACCAAGAATATATCAACCAACAGCAAATACCGGAAAGGAAGTAGGTGAGATTACAAACTGGTCCAGCCACTACAGAAAACAGTGTGGCAACACCAAAAACAAAACAAACAAACAAAACAAAACAAAAAAGCCAAAACTAAATCTACCATGTGACTTGATCTATGCTCAAAGGACATCCCACTGTGCAGGTACGTGCTCTGACATATTTATTGCTGCTCTAGTCACAGTCGCTAGGAAATGGAAAAGACATACATGTCCTTCAACTGATGAGTGGATAATGAGAATGTGTTCCATTTATACTATGGAATACTATCCCGCTGTAACCAAAACTGAAATCATCACCTTTGCAGGGAAATGGTTGGAACTAGGAAGGATCATATTGAGTGAGGTAACCCAGACCCAGAAAGACAGACATCACGTGCTCTCCCTCATCTGAGGCCTAGCGCCAGGTCTTCAGATGTGAGTATTTAACTTAAAGTAACTCCAGTTAAAAGGGATTGTTTGGGGGAGGGAATAGGGAAGGGACGAGCAGGATACAAGTGATCTGAAGGGGAAATGGGGAAAACAGGAAAGGGAGGAGGGAAAAATCACAGTAATGAGGTCTGAAAAAGCCATAAGGACATGCAAGTGGAATAGTCCAGGAGGCATCAACTCTCCCGAGAACTACAGGCAACTGAAAACATGCTGAAGAGGGAAGACATAGTCTTCCTCATGGAAAAGCACCCAAATGATTGTGCAGTACCAAATAGTCATCCCTGAACATCCCTACAAACATACACACACAAGTAACATTATGTGTCTTAATCAAGGTGCATTTGTATGTTTAGGAACACACACACACACACACACACACACACAGAGTTAAAGAAAAAGAGGGCATCTATTTGAAAGAGAGCAAGGTACATGGGAGGGTTTGGAGAGAGGAAAAGGAAGAATATAATGATGTAATTATCTCGTAATCTAAAAAGTATTTTAAAATTATTTTTACAAAAGATAAAATTCCAAGAAATGGAATGCCTAAAGTACCCACTGATTCTTAAGGAATGTCATACATTGCCAAAAACTATGTCTGTTCCTACCTGCCATCAGCAGTGTGCCAGAAAAACAACTCTCTGTGTTATCATTTAAAATAAAAAAATAGATTTGGAGACTGGTTCTGCAGTTTAGGAACACTCACTGATCTTAAAAGACTAGCTTTTAGTTCCCAGCATCCACATCAGGCAACTCACCACCATGTAGGTGAGTTAGCTCTTGTTCCAAGGGATCTGCTGCCCTCTTCTGGTCTCCAAAGGAATTACATGGGCATGGTACCAAAAAAAAATGCAAACAGGCACACACACATACACAGAAATAAAATGTATAAAAAGAAATACTGATTTTTTTCACATAAAGTAAATGGTCATTGGCTGTCTATGTCAGCAGTTTTTATTCAGCATAGTTGTCAAGTCACCATCCAAGTTGTTGCTATGTCAAGAGTTGCTTCTTTTTCGTTATTAAATAACATCCTATGGTGTGTACACACTAGATTGTTTAAACATCTACCTCTGAAAGTCGTATAGGTTATTTCTAATTTCTATCTATGACAAATAAATATGATACAAATATTTGTTTACAATTTTCTGTGTTAACACGAGTGTTCTAGATAAACAAGATAAAGAGTGCAATCGCTAAAACATGTAGGCATTTCATGCTTAGTTTTATGAGAAACAGCCAAACTACTTTCTGAAGTGGCTGTATGAGTTTACATTCTTACCAACAGTGGATTAGTAATCTAATTTCTCTGTGTTCTGGCTTGCATTTGACATGAGCACTATTTGTTACTTTGGCAATTCTGATAAATATGTACTGATAATCTCATTGTGGTTTTAATTTGTGTCTCCCTCATAACAAATGAGAGGAATTTTTCAGAAGACCTTGGGCAGCCTTAGGCCGCCTTTTGTAATTAAGCAGAAAATTATAAGGTACCGGGCCAGTTGGAACTTCCATTGCAGATATAATGGCTTGTCTGTGGCTCCCTTGAAGGGTGCAGGGGGTTTATTAACGTACCTGAGTTTTTCTGTTAGAGCTGTGTATCACTTGCTGTTGGACGGTGTGGGTATAGAAGATAGACTTGCCCCTCTTCCTCTGCTGTATCTGCAACCACATGTCTCACTGATCCAGAGGGCCTGATCCACTTGGGGGCTCCTCAGCCTTTGGTTCATAGTTCATATATTTCCACTAGTTTGGCTATTTGTCCCTGTGCTTTATCCAACCTTGGTCTCAACAATTCTCGCTCATACAAACCCTCCTCTTTCTCGCCAATTGGATTCCTGGAGCTCCACCTGGGGCCTGGCCATGAATCTCTGCATCCGGTTCCCTCTGTCATTGGATGGGATTTCTAGCACAACAGTTAGGGTGTTTGGCCATCCTATCACCAGAGTAGGTCAGTTCGGGCTTTCTCTCAACCATTGCCAGCAGTCTTTTGTGGAGGTATCTTTGTGGATTTCTGGGGACCTCTCTAGCACTTTGCTTCTTCCTATTCCCATGGGGTCTTCATTTATCATGGTCTCTTTTTCCTTGTTCTCCCTCTCTGTTCCTGATCCAGCTGGGATCTCCCGCTCCCCTAAGCTCTCTTTCCCTCAACCCTTGCCCTTCATTACCCGCCCCCCCCACACGTCCAGTTTGCTCATGTAGATCTCATCCATTTCTCTATCATTGGGCTATCCCTGTGTCTTTCTTAGGGTCTGTCAGAATGGCTAAGATCAAAAACACTGAAGACAGCTTATGCTGGAGAGGATGTGGAGCAAAGGGAAGTCTTCCACTGCTGGTGGGAATACAAGCTTGTACAACCACTTTGGAAATCAATATGGCGCTTTCTCAGAAAATTTGGAATCAATCTTCCCCCAAGACCCAGCTATACCACTCTTGGGCATATACCCAAGGAATGCTCAATCATACCACAAGGGCACTTGCTCAGCTATGTTCATATCAGCATTGTTTGTAATAGCCAAAACCTGGAAACAACCTAGATGCCCTTGAACTGAAGAATGGATAAATAAAATGTGGTACATATACACAGTGGAGTACTACTCAGCAGAGAAAAACAGTGAAAGCATGAGATTTGCAGGCAAATGGATGGATCTAGAAAAAATCATCCTGAGTGAGGCAACCCAGACTCAGAAAGACAAACATGGTATGTACTCACTCATAAGTGGATACTAGATGTAAAACAAAGGATGACTAGACTGCTACTCACAACTCCAGGGAGGCTACCTAGAAAACAGGGCTCTTACAATCTTACTGCCCCTTCTTCCTCAATGCTCTTTGAGACATCAAGGTATGGTATACATATCCCAATCAGGGCTGGTCACTACACACTTGTTCTTTGGATTTTGACTAGTTGTATTAGCCAGTGCTGTGACTTTTAATAAAGCTTCCATTTTGGCTAAACTCTGACAATTCTAGCACCTATAGCAATTTGGTTTGTAGAACTAATTTCTCTGGAGGCGCTGTCCCATGGACCCTCCGTAATGGCCAGCCAGGGAAGATGTTTACGGATCACCAAAAATCCTTTAACTGACTACTCACTGGTTGCCCCTAGCATTGGTCAACTGCAGGTCCAAATGGAAACCTTTTAACCTTCTTTCCTCCTGGCTTCTCCTCTATTACTAACCCACCTTATAAGGGTATAGACTCTGAATCTAACAGAGGCCCCTCTGGAGGTTTCTCCCTGCAGATGAAAGTCGGCAGTGTCTTAGGTCACTTGTTCCCTTGTCTGTTTGTCCTTCTCACTGACCTTTCATTTGGTGGCCCCTACAGGGAGTGACTGTCTGTGAGCTCTCCATCCCCTTCCTCCTTTCCCTGTTTTCTCCTCTACCCCCTTATTCATTGAGCCTGTGCAGCAGAGACCATATGTACATTGTATCCCTTGAATCCACCACTGGCTGATCTGACCTTGGGTGAGTTTTGAAGGGTTATTTTTTTGTTTGTTTACCTTCTCCAGAAACCCCTACCTTCTGACCCTCCCCCAGGTAGACTTCTCAGGAACCCCGGTGGAGTGTTTCCCCTAGACTGAACTTTTGGTCTCCCTGGAGAGGAGCAGTGGGGATGTCTGTCCACTCTAGATGGACTCTTTTATGGAACAGAGCTATTGGTTGGGGGGACACCTCTCCCTTGTGACCTGTTTTCAGGGGCTGTGGATCTCCCTTCTTGACCCTTCTCTGCCATGCACCAGCGATCCTCCAACTACCCAGAGCTTCTCCTCAATTTTTCTACAACCACACAGCCTGGCTGCGGTATTGCTTGACAGTGGCTACACTGGCTAGTGGGCAATGCATTGAACTTCCACACTCCAAAGGACCTTACATGTGATGGCCTTCCATATTAATGCATGCAATATGGTCTGAGGCTTCCTGCGTTCCAGCCTTTATCGTTCTCTGTTTCTGCCCTTCTCTCGGCTCCTTCTGCTCTGCCTTTCAGGTTCTCCTTCTAAATAAAATCCCCTGGCCAGACCTCTGAATCTCATCCCCTTGTGGTGACTAGATTTTATGTCAGCTTGACAGAAACGGGAGTCACTTTGGAAGAGGGAACTTCAGTTGAGAAAATGCCCACACTAGATTGGCCTGTTGGCAAGCCTGTGGCACATTTTCTTGATTGAGATGGGAGAGCTCAGCTCAGTGTGGGTGGTGCCATCCCCGGCCTTGTGGTCCTGGATTCTATAAGAAAGCAGGCTGAGCAAGCCATGAGGAGCAAGCCAGTAAGCAGCATCCTTCCATGGCCTCTGCATCCACTCCTGCCTCCAGGTTCCTGCCCTGCTTGAGTTCCTGCTGTGACTTCTCACAGTAATGAAGCGTGACCCGAGAGTTGTAAACAAAAATAAATTGTGTTCTCCCCAAATTGCATTTGGTCGCATAGTAGAGACCCTAACTAAAACACCACTATTTGTCCTGTTCATGTTCTTACTATGACTACAAAAACAATGTGTTCTGCCAATTGTATGCTGCTTTCCAATCGTATGCTGCTTTCCAATTGTATGCTGCTTTCCAAAACTTGTTACTAAAGATCTCCAGGGGGCTGGAGAGATGGTTTAGAGGTTAAGAGCAATGGTTGCTCTTCCAGAGGTCATGAGTTCAATTCCCAGCACCCACATGGTAGCTCACGACCATCTATAATGAGATCTGGTGCCCTCTTTTGGTGGGCAGGCATACATGCAGACATAACACTGTATACATAATAAATAAATCTTTAAAAAAAAAAAGATCTCCAGGAAACTTTCTTTTGTCCTGCTGACTGGGGGGTAACTGCCGAGAAAAACCTTCCTAACTCCCTGCCCTAATCAGATACTGTGACTCCTGCTCTCTTTCATTGTGCTCTAACTGCTGCTCCTACTTGGTGCATGTGGTAGCTTATAACCACCCCCCATCCCCTCCAAACGCTTCTTGTTTGGCCCAGCTTGGACTAACAGTGTAACAGCTGTCTCCCTCTCTGTGAGCTTCTGGGCCAGAACCTGCCTTCAGGGACCTCCCAGCAAGAAACACATCAGCCTCCATCTGTAGATTCTCTTCATGTACCAGGTTGCCATGGTGAGGTGGGTGCACAGGGATTCCATCATGCCTGAACCCCTCAATTACATTTTAAAAAATGAGTCTGTGTTCAATCTGAGAACGTCTAAACTACATCTCTAGCCTACAGGAATGCCTTCAGCCACACCTCTTCCTGTTTCTAACTTTAGTTTTGACTTGCCCACTCCCACCTGCTGCAATACAGCTAGCTCTCAGCCAAAAGGCCACAGATATGGTGTTCTTTGTGTGTGTTGGGGGGTGTTAAATTCCCAGCTGTGCTTCTCCTTATACAGAGAAACACTTGTGAAAGTCCTACAAATTGCTGAGATATAAAAGTTTCACGCTATCCTTGGCCCTAT